TACATATATATATACCTCGCGTGAAAGTACACCACAGTGTACACTGCGACTGGCACAACGTTCTGAGTTCACATACCTCCCAGGCGGGCTTGATATCAGACTTTGTGACAACCAGTCCACTCGAGCACAGCCCAGGTATCAGCACAATGGGGTGATGCGCGGTGTATCCCTGTGCTCGTAGTTCCTTGCCTAGTTTTATTGCGTTTAATTGCGAACAGCGATAGGGAGTTAGCGTGGGTAGCTGATCATATTGTATGTGGAATACGAGGTACTTGGTATTTTGGACCCGTTTATATGGCTACAAAATGAACGGAAATCGGACTTGCTATGAGTATTTGTATTGCGATTTGAACGTTCGTGGCGTCGTGGTCCATAGACCGGGACGTGACATTACCGCACAGACAAGCCCTTTCTTGCGTTCTACTGGCTTCAAATTCGGACCATTGAAGTGTGTGCGTGGCTATTCTATAGCTATTGAAGCCGGAACGGACACAGACGTAAACTATAGGCCCAAGACTAAACAAACGCCTTTGTCTTTCCTATTGGTACTGGAAAAGACCAACACTGTCACTCTAGCTTATACAATACAAGACGCCTCGTATGGGACTTTTTGTACCCCAAAATATACACCAAACACATGAGAAACCAGGCTTCCCAAATGAAGTGTCAGATCGATCATTACACTTAACCTGCACGCATACCTATACTGCCCTTGGCCTTCACCGATGTCAAACTGGAGAAGAGCGTACAGCTCGCAGGTGCCTGTAATCGGCAGTGGCGATGGACAGGGTAGGGGCATTCTGTAGGAAAGGAGTTAGGGTGCAAACACGGTTGTAGATCAAACAAACCTCCCCGGAACCCATACTATAACCCACCGCAACTCAACAATACTATACGCCATAGGAATACCAATGGGACCTATCACAGTGTGAGTTCTGGTTGTACTATGGGGTTAGAAAAGTCTATTTATACGAAGTGAACAGCGAATACGCTCGAAAATGCCACACGCCAAAGGATACCCAATGGGACGAACCGCAGTGTGACTTCCTTTTGCACTACGGGGATATATAACAACTTGTCAGTACCAAGTGACAAGTGAATAAACGTATCAACCTTTTGCACTATGGAGTTATAAAACAGTATGACAGTACCAAGTTACCAGTGAATCAACGTTTTGACGCGACAATGAACACGACGAGCGGGGGACGCAACAATACACACCTACACATCGCTCGCCTTGATCCACCAGTCCTCTGCACTGCCAGCACATGGCCATTGAAATGCGTTAGGGTTGCTTTGACTCGTGTGGTTGATTGGGGATCGAATACGCAGAGGCAACGATCACACCAGAGGTGATGAGGTACGAAGGTATGGGTGTGGGTATTGCGGTGTGCAGTGGCAGGGAGCTCAAAAGGAATGGGTGGGTAGAGTAGATGAGAGGGTGCGTGAGTGTGGAAAAGATATTGCGGTCCGATAGAACGAGATAGGGTGTTGTGGTGCCCAATGTCAACACAGCGGATTGGGTATATAAATATATATATATATATATATATATATATATATATATATATGTGTGTGTGTGTGTGTGTGTGTGTGTGTGT